CAGAATTTCTGTAGTGTTTGTGGCCATCTGTATTTTTCAGTAATGGCCATGCAGATGCAGCTTGAAGCAAGTGCAGAAACTTCAGTGGAAGAAGAGAGCTTTGGCCCGCAGCCTATTTCACGGTTGGAGCAATGTGGCATAAATGCTAATGATGTGAAGAAATTAGAAGAAGCTGGATACCATACTGTGGAGGCTGTTGCCTATGCACCAAAGAAGGAGTTAATAAATATAAAGGGAATTAGTGAAGCCAAAGCTGATAAAATTCTGGTAAGTACAGCTAGAGAGGCATTAGTATAGATAATACAAGTAGGTATATACGAAAAGGTATTCTAATCCTCATTCTTTTGTCATCCTGTTTCCTAAAGGTAACTATCACCGGTTTCTTATCTTTATATGTGTCTCATTGAGTGAATTCAAATTTTCTGTTCAGAATTGTATTATGAAATTTGATGTAAATGCTGCCAAACTGACAACCAATCTACATTTCCACCAGCAAAGGCTGATGTGTAACTTATTTTTTTAGATGTTATGGTCTTATATCCTGGAAATACATTTATTCAGCTTGGCATAGTACCATGAGGCTGTAATTCCAACTACTTGGGTTTAACATTTTCTTTGTTTTTTCATTTTGGTGCTATGGATCAAACTCAAAGCTGTGCCTGTGGTAAGCAAGCTTCCTACCACTGGGCTATATCTCCAGCTCATTCTAATTCTAGTAACTTGGGAGCCTGAGGGAGGAAAATCCTAAATTCTATTCCAAACTGGATAAGTTAGTCAGACTGGCTCAAAACAAAGTTTTAAGTATAAAGTCAAGAGTAGTGATGCATACTCGTGATCATAGCACTCTGAAGACTGAGTCAGGAAGAGTGTAAGTTCAAGCTCAGCCTAAGCTACTTAGGTCCTACCTCAAAAAAGTAAAAAGAACTGTGTGTAGTTCATTTAAAGGACCCTGGGTTCAATACCCAATACTATTTTTAAAAATAATAAATGGCTGGGGATATTCCTCAGCAATAGATGCCTTGCCTAGCATATTCAGGCACCTAAATACAGTTTCTAATATCACCCAAAAAAAGGACTGTCATTAGAAATTGGGATTAAATCAGTAACTCCCATGCTGAGTAAGTGCTGTTGCACCCTGTGCTATACCTCTTTCCTAGCTTCATCTTTGAAGTTCTACGTAGGATACATTGAATAATTGTCTAAAATTATATTTTCCTTATATTGCTTACCTTTATAGTTTTATAGAAATTTTCTTCTAAAATCATCAAAAGCTAAGGAGGGGCTGGGGAGGTAGCTCAGTAGAATACGCAAGGGACTGAGTTTAATCCCTAGTGCTGCAAAAAAAAGTTAAGGAATCTTCAAAAATATTATTATTGCTATTATTATTATTATTATTATTATTATTATTATTATTTTAAATGTATTTAGTACAGGGTTTACAGGGTCTCACTACACAGATCAGACTCATTTTGTCCTTCCTGTTTTTCAGCCTCCCAAGCACTGGGATTACAGGCGCATGCCACCATGCCCAGTCTCAATCGTATCTCAGCTCGCCCCAGGAATGGGGCCCAGCATAGCAGGCGAGGATTGACTCCCAGCCCCTGCGTCTGGCTAAGCAAGCACTTTAATCTGCTGAGCTATCTGGCTGGCCCCATCCTTTATTATAGAGTTATTAATTACATTTAGTTTTGCCATGTAACTTAGTGAAATGGGTGATAAATTCAACATTTTATGTACTTATTTAATATCTCATATACATCAGTATATGTAACACGTTCTGTTTGATGATGGATATTTTTGGAGGTTTTGGTTTTAGTTTTTTGGTTTGTAATTGGGATTGAAGACTGGGCATGGTGGTGCACACCTGTAATCTCTGCTCTTGGGAGGCTGTAAACAGGCGAATCACAAGTCCAATCTAGTAGTGAGACCCTTTACACCCTGTAGACCCTTTCCTAAAAAATACAAAAGTAAGAATGTAATTGGGGTTGAACCGAACCCCAAAGTCTCTTCATTCACACTTAGTTCTGTTTCCAGCTTTTGAAACACAGTCTGATTAAGTTGCGTAGGCTGGGCTCCAATTTGCAGTCTATCTGCCTCAGCCTCCTACAGTGCCTAAATTGCAAGAATACATCTCCAGATGCTGCTGACTGAATAGTTCTAAAGTAAGAGTGTTGAACTGAGTGTTGAACTTAAGCATTGGCAGGGCTTTTACTTCAGATATTTATTTAGCACTAATCTGTCAAAATCAATCAGTGATTAAAAGCTATAATTCATAATGTAAGCCCAAAGAGTAAAGCTGTTGCTCTGCATGTATGAAGTTAGCATTTATTTATTTATTTATTTTAAATCTATTTATTTATTATTTGGTACAGGGTCTCACTATGCAGCTCAACCTCATAGTGATCCTCCTGTCTCAACTTGCCCACCACTGGGATTACAGGTGTGTGCCACCATGCCTGGTTTCGGTGACCGGCATGGTGGGCCCAGAGTTCTGGGGCTGGTGCAGCATGCCATACCAGGAATCGAACCCAGGTCCTTGTACTTGCCAGGCAGGCGCTTAGACAACTGAGCTAGCTATCTCTTCAGCCCAAGTTAGCATTTATTTGATCTCTCAAACAAGTGTTGAAGTGGTGGCTTAATTGTAAAGAAAAGTTGGAAGTCCCTAATACTTCACTAAAAGATTGTAATATTGACTAAGCCAGTTGAGCTCCCTAAGGTGTACTTGGTATCACTCTAGGGGCATCAGTTTCTATGACTGAAGAATTGGTGGCTGGATCTTCATTTATGCCCTATCAGATCTTAGTTTTAGAAATCATATCAGTTGGGGCTGGTGAGATGGCTCAGTGGTCTAAAGCACCTACTTAGAACAAGCTTAGCAAAGCACAGGGGCTGCGGTTCAATCCCCCAGCACCACATGCCAGCCAGCCCCGCCCCCTGGTGGGCTGAATTGGCCACACACACACACACACACACACACACACTAAATAAATAAACTTTAAAAAAAAAAGAAAAATGCTCAGTTATGCAGGGAGGTAAAATAGGACATGACTTTGAAACTACTGGCAGATTGAAAAGTAATTCATATGAATTTGAAAGTAGGAACCATTGAGAAAAAAGCATTGGTAACATAGGAACATTAGAGAAAGAATTGTGTTTTGTTTTGTTTTGTTTCTTTTAAGACAGGTTCTCACTGTGTAGTTTAGGCTGGTCCTTTTTTTTTTTTTTTTTTTTTTTTTTTTTGGTGGAACTGGGGATTGAACGAAGGCCCTTGTGCTTGTCAGGCAAGCACTTATTCCACTGAGCCATCTCCCTGGCCCAAGATTTGTATTTCTAACACACCATTCAGTTCAGCGATAAATATATTTATAAGTTACCTAATTTGTTGACACAGAATTGTTCAAAGTAGTCCCTTTATAATTCTTTTTATTTCTATGAAATTGGTAGTAATATCTGCTCTATTCATTCCTGATTTTACTAGTTTTGGGCTTCATTTTTGTTCTTGTTATTAATCAATGTAGGTAAGTGACTTTTATCTTTTCAATAAATTACTGGCTTCAAGCTGGGTGTGATGGCGCATGCCTGTAATCTCAGCACTAGAGAGACTGAGGCAGGAGGATCACTGAGGGAATTTGAGGCCAGTCTGGGCTACAAAGAGCTCAAGGCCAGCCTGCACTGTATAGGAGTCCCTGTCTCAAAAAGACCAAAAAAAAAAAAAAAAGAAAAAGAAAAGGAAAAAAAAGACATTACTCGCTTCATTAATTTGTTGTCTATTTCACTAACTTATATTTTAGTTTGTATTATTTTCATCTATATGCTTGCTTTGTACTTAGTTTAGCAGTTTAAAAATTGATCTTGTGTAGCATGGGTGAAGCCCTGGATTCAGTGCCTAGTGACATCTCAAAAAAACCTTTATGAAATCTCTGAGTTATATTAGTCTTTATGGTGACTTTTGTTTTATTTTGTTGTGTTGTGGTTTTTTTTTTCTTTTTGTTCTTTGTTTTGTTTTTTGAGACAGGATCTTATCATAATATGTAGTTCAGGCTGGCCTTTTCTCTTTTTTGGTACCAGGAATCCAGGAAGGTGCTATGCCACTGAGCTACATGCCCGAGCTCCAGGCTGGCCTTGAACTAACTGTAGCCCAGGCTAGCTTCAAATCATACAGGTCCTCTGCCTATGCCTACCAGGTGCTGGAATTTTATTAGATATTTTCTCTTCCCTGGTTCTTTTACTGATTTGAGATGATCATCACTAATCTAAAATGCTAAAATCCAAATTGCCCTGTTTTTTTTTTTTTTTTTTTTTTTTGCGGAATCAGGGATTGAACTCAGGCCCTTGTGCTCATCAGAGAGGCATTTATTCCACTGAGCCATCTCCCCAGCTCCTGTTCCTGTTTTTTGTTTAGACAGGGTTTCCCTATGCAGTTCAGGTTGGTCTTAAACTCACTTTTTTTTTTTTTTTTTGGCGGAACCGGGGATTGAACTCAGGCCCCTGCGCTTGCCAGAGAAGCACTTATTCCACTGAGCCATCTCCCCGGCCCTTAAACTCACTTTGTAGCCTATGCTGGCCTCTAAATTGCAGCAGTCCTCCTACCATAGCCTTCTGAATGCTGTGATTACAGGCATGCATTACCACATCTGCTTCTCCAGATTTTTTGAGCACCAATGTGATAAAAGTTAAGATTTTTGGAACTTTTTGGATTAAAATTGTTCAATTGGTAGATCCTATGCAACAATTCTAAAATTTGGGCCATGGTACTGTACAACCAAAATCCCAGCATTGGAAGGCTGAAACAGGAGGACCGACTAAAGTTTGAGGCCAACCTGAACAAACTAGTGAGACACTGTCTCAAAAAGAAAAACAAAAAAGAAAAAATCTGGTTGCAAGCATCTCAGATAAGGATTACTACTCAACTTGTATTTTGTTTCTTTAACATTTATTTTCCCCAGGCTGAGGCAGCTAAATTAGTTCCAATGGGTTTTACCACTGCAACTGAATTCCATCAAAGGCGATCAGAGATCATACAGATTACCACTGGATCCAAAGAGCTTGACAAACTACTTCAAGGT